ATGGATCCCCAGACACAGTTATTAAATGAAGAGACTGCCAAGCCAAGCACGGGTAACATTCTGCAGAGAGTCTTACCACCTAAGACAGAAGTGCTTTGCCTCTCCTGATGCATATTCCATGATGGGTAAGGAAGGCATTCTTGTCAGAAGGACCAAGACAGGCTCAGTCTTGTTAACAAAATAAAAAAGGGGGAGAGGTGTAACGACTTTGGGGCTGCTTGGCAAGAAGCTGACATGGGCCAAGGAAAAGGAAAGGGGCTGCTTGACAGGAATACGACATTGGCCAAGGACAAGGAAGTAGGCTTCAAGTCGGAATTTGATATTGCACTAGAAAAAAGAAGTAATTTCAGGCAGGAATCAAAATCATAGGCTACAACAAAGAAGTAATCTCAGGCAGGAATCTCAATATTAGGCCAGAACAAAGAAGTAATTTCAGACAGGACTTTAAATTTTAGGCTAGAACAAGAAAGTAGGCTTCAGACATGAAAATGACCTTGGGTTCGAATAGGGAAGTAGGCTCAGATACTTTGGTCATCTTAAATTTTTTAAATTTTTTTTTAAACTTTATTTATTTATTTATTATAAGTACACTGTAGCTGTCTTCAGACACCCCACAAGAGGGCATCAGATCTCATTGCAGATGGTTGTGAGCCACCATGTGGTTGCTGGGATTTGAACTCATGACCTCTGGAAGAGCAGTCAGTGCTCTTAACCACTGAGCCATCTCACCAGCCCCTACTTTGGTCATCTTGATATACCTTTAGAAACAGTGTTCACGGATATGTTCTCATAATTGGGTTTAACGCCTTGCTTTTTCTTTCACTATTTCTGTTTATTGTACTGCTTGTTCCTCAACTATTTGCATCTATTGTACTGCTAGTCCCTCAACCTAGAACTGACCTTAATACATGCATGTAATCAAAATGGTATAAAAGCATAAAGGAGAGGGGATATAGGATAGGGGGTTCGAGGGAGGGAAAATGGGGAAAGGGAATGACATCTGTACTGTAAATAAATAAAATATCCAATAGAGAAAAAAAGAATGAGCCGGGCGGTGGTGGTGCACGCCAGTAATCCCAGCACTTGGGTGGCAGAGGCAGGTGGATTCCTGAGTTCGAGGCCAGCCTGGTCTACAGAGTGATTTCCAGTATAGCCAGGGGTACACAGAGAGACCCTGTCTCAAAAAACCAAAAAAAAAAAAAAAAGAAAGAAAGAAAGAAAGAAAGAAAGAAAGAAAGAAAGAAAGAAAAGAAGAAAATGAAAAAATCTAGAAAGAAACAGAAAGAATAAATCCTTACTACTCAGGTTGTCTGGGCCAGCTTTGGAGGTTTTGCTATGTCCCAGCCCATGCCATGAACCCCAGAATTATGCATGCCAGTTCAGCTCAACTTTTGTTCTAGTTGGGACCCTGTATAGCTTGGTGAGGGACCACATGGCTTCAGCAAAACCAGCAGCTTTGCTAAGAATACAGTTTTCACTAACTCCTAATCTCACATCATGGGACCTGTATTCCATTTGAGAATCTCCAAATAATTTAACACTGAGTTCAATCCTAAAGGTGAGATGCGTTTTGTACAGTTAGTTGATTATTCTGCTCTACTATAGGATGCACAGCAAATGCTATGGATTCTTAAATAAGAGAGACAAACACACATAGCTTTAATTAATATGCCTAAATCAGCTGATTGTTTGGGTCACTTCAAAACTTGCACTTTGCTAATGCCTCCCCTGTGATACTCCTGAATTATTACTTACTAAAATGTATATCCCATCTCTGCTACCCCAGAATCAATTGGAGGAGGGAACACTGGAGACACTCTTTCCTGGCTCTTTCATGGCTGGCACTCTGTCTTTTGCAGCTCTCAAGCCTTCATCCAATTCTTTTACTGGCATGGCAATCCTCTTTGCTCTCCTTGCCTGTGAATCCAAAAGTCCTGCCTGTGTCTTCCTGCCTAGTCATTAGCTGCTGGCAATTTTATTTACCAATTAGAACCAGCTTGGGGCAGGGAATCTCAGAGTCTCAAATTCAGGACTCTCATGAAATTTGGAAACCAATTTGACACAAGTAGCATTAGAACCAATACACAACAATTAGGAATAAACAGAAAACAAAACCCCACTCCTTAAGTATTGACTTTTTGTTATCATACTCCATTTAGTGACATGGTGAAACTTAAGTTCTCATTTCCAGGCATGGAGGAGATAGGGACTTTCCACTCTGGACCACCATCCTTTACTCATCTTTTGTTCTAGGAAACATAATGAATGTCTCCAGCAAAAAAAAAAAAAATGCCTTTTGCTATTCATCTTGTGCTCCTCAAAACATAACACCTGTTGTTTACCACTAAAGAACAAATTGATGATTGTTTAAACTGTAAAACCCACATTCTATAACAGTTGACACTGTCAACTATATAAGCCCCTATCCCTAAATCCTGATTGTTGGGAAAATGTAGTGGTAACTTGGTATAGAAATTTCTGGTTTTCTCTCTTTACTTTTATAATATTCTTTTTTCTTTTCATTTATTGTTCAATCTTTTTTTTTTTTTTTACAATCCAGATTATATACCCTTCCTGGTCCATTCTCCAATTCTTCCTCATCCTATTCCTCTTTTCTCAGTCTCCAAGAAGATGTCCGCATGCACAACCCCCACCCCACCACCCCTCCCCATTCCCTGGGGCCCCAAGTTTCTGGATGGTCATATGTACCTTCTCTGACTGAGTCCAGACCCAGTAGTCCTCTGCTATATATCAGGTGATTTATGCTACTTGGTTGGTGGCTCAGTGTCTGAAAGATCCCAGGACTACAGGCTAGTTCAGACCGCTTGACTTCCTATATAGTTGCCCTCTTCCTTTATTTCTTCCAGCTTTCCCCTAATTCAACTTCATGGGTCACCAGTTTCTGTCCATTGATTGGGTGTAAATGTCTGCATCTCTTTCACTCGCTTATTGGGCCTCTTGGAAGTCAATCATGACAGGCCTCTGTTTGTAAGGAGAGTATGGCATCAGTAATAGTGTCAGACCTTAGCATGTCACTGGACCTTCTTTTGAACAGAATCTTCTCTGGTTTTGTTCCTGCAGTTCTTTCAGACATTAACAACTGTGGGTTAGCGTTTTGGACTCCAGAATGTCAGATCTATAACATTCTGGCTCACTTGGGGAAATGTGTGTGTTACAAGTCATACATTATGTTCCGAGTATGTCACGATCCAGCAGCCGCTTTATTACCATATACTCCTGTCACCTGCATTACCTGAGACTGAGAGGTGTTGGATCTGAGAGGACCACATACCAGAAAGGCTCTACCACATTGTTTACACTCATAGACTTTCTCTCCATTATGATTACTTTCATGATGATGAAGACCATAAAAATGTACAAAGGCTTCCCCATAGTAAATGTATTCCTACGGTTTCTCTTTCATGCTGATGAATACTTGAGAAGTTTGTAAAGGCTTCACAATATTAAAAGTATTCATATATTTCTAAGCAGTATGGATTGTATCATGGTGATGACGACTATAGAAATGTGCAAAGGCTTCATCATATTAAATATACTCACAGGATTTCTCTGCATTATGGTTTCTTTTGTGCCTTTGATTATGACTGACATATGAAGGCTTTACCACATTGCTTACATTCTCACCGGTATGTCTTCTTTTATTCAGTTGAAGAGGATTGCAATGTAAAAGGCCTTATCTTGTTGATGACAGTTACAGGATTTCTCTGGAGTGTGTCTTCTTTTATTTACATGGTGAGTACTGTTGACTTGCAAAAGGTTTACCACATTGCTTATATTCATAGTGTTTCTCTTCAGTGTGTATCCTTTGATGTACTAGGAGATGACTCCTTTGTGCAAAGGCTTTACCACATTAGTTACATTCAGAGGATTTCTCTCCAGTACACGTTCTTTTAGGTATTTGAAGATGATTGGGACATAGAAGAGCTTCAGACCATTGGTGATATTCACAGGGTTTTTTTCCAGTATATGTTCCTTTATAAATTTGGAGGACACCACTTTGGGAAAAAGGCTTAAAGCCACATTGCTCACATTCAAAAACTGTTCTTCTGTATGTGATCTTTTATGACTTTGGTGACAACTGCTGTGTGAAAAAGCTTTACCACATTGGATACATTCATACAATTTCTCTTCTGTATGTGTTCTTTTATGATAATTGAGACCACTGCTTACTGCAAAGGCATTATAAATTGGTTACATTCACAGGGTTTCTCTCCTGTATGTGTTCTTTTATGCCTTTGGAGGTAGCACCTTAGTGCAAAGGCTTTACCATATTGGCTACATTAATAGGTTTTCTCTCCAGTATGTGTTCTTTCATGTCTTTGGAGACCACTCCTTCCTGTAAAAGCCTTACCACATTGGTTACACTCATAGGGTCTCACCCCTGTATGTGTCCTTTTATGACATTGGAGAACAGTGCTGTGTGCAAAGGCTTTACCACATTGGCTACATTCACAGGGTTTCTCTCCTGTATGTGTTCTTTTATGACACTGGAGAACACTGCTGTGCGCAAAGGCTTTACCACATTGGTTACATTCATAGGGTTTCTCCCCTGTATGTGTTCGCTTATGTTTTTGGAGGTCACTTTTTCCTGCAAAGGCTTTACCACACTGGTTACACTCATAGGGTTTCACCCCTGTATGTGTTCTTTTATGATATTCCAGACCATTGCCATGTGCAAAAGCTTTACCACATTGGTTATATTCATAGGGTTTCTCTCCTCTATGTTTTCTTTTATGATATTGGAGACCAGTGCTTCGTGTGAAGGCTTTACCACATTGGTTACATTCATAGGGTTTCTCTCCAGTATGTGCTTTTTTATGTCTTTGGAGGTTGCTCCTTACTGCAAAGGCTTTACTACATTGGTTACATTCATAGGGTTTCTCTCCTGTATGTTTTTGTTTATGTTTTTGGAGGCCACTACTTCCTGTAAAGGCTTTACCACATTGGTTACATTCATAGGGTTTCTCTCCAGCATGTGTTCATTTATGATATTCAAGACCACTATACCTTGCATAGGATTTACCACACTGGTTACATGTATAGGGTTTCTCTCCATTATGAGTTCTTTCATGCCTTTGAGTATGACTCTGATATGCAAAATCTTTAGCACATTGAGCAATCTCAGAGGGTTGTTCTCCAGTACAACTTCTTTCATGCCTGAAAATACAATTGGCACATGTGAAATCTTTCTCACATTGATTATACTGATGCATGTTTTGATCTGTATGAATTCATTTACAATTTGGTTAAGTTGTAAAGAGTAATCTGATCTTAACATAATATCACTTTGTTACATTCAAAGGTGTTCTCTGGTATGGGTTGTTTTACATCTTTAAAGATGCATAGTATTGGAAGAGAATTGATTACATGGCTAACATTTATACTATACTTTCTTTTATAAGACATTATTCACATATTTGAAGAAAACAGGAAGAAGTCAGAGCTTTTACATACTGATTGTATTCATAAATTTTGTTATCAAGACAAAAATGCTACATTTAGAATATAAACCAATACTAACAGAAAAAATTCTACTTCCCTTATTCTCATAATGATTTTCAGCAGTTTGAGTTGGCAAATGTCCTCAATAATATTGGAAAACTATTTATAAACTTTTAGCCAATTTAGTAATATCTACTCAAAGTGTGCAATACTATATATCTTTTAATTGTTCTGGAAAAGAGAAAGGTATGTTGCTTCTTTCAATATCTCTATGCTCAAATGGCTTGTATCCATCAAGACCTATGGCATCCATATTAAAAAAAGAATAACAAGTTAAAGGATTTCACATTACATTCGCAGAGTTTGATTTTTCCCCCCTCATATTGATGTGTTAAAGGGATTAAGTTTTCTCCACAAAGCCATCCTTGAATCTCATAAAGTGTCCATCTCATTGAATTTAGCAATGTTACTACAAGTATATGGTTAACAACACATATACTATGGATTATTTGCTATTACAAGATTTTAGACACATACTTATCACCTAATCAATGTGTTTCACTTTTGCGATAGCTATATGGTATGAGAATGATCAGACTGGCAGTTCTAGAGCATGGCTTGACTCAAATAGTGACATATCTGTTAAGCCTCTGTTTCAGTGTTTATGAAATTAAAGGAAAACCCTGCAAACACAAACTGGATGTCTGCCATCGACATACATGGTTTTGTGATATTTAATAATCAATCATCAGTTAAAGAAGTGCTTATTTTACCCTATTGCTATAGTTTACAACTTGTAGCACATGTGAAACTTTCTTCATAGGCGTTATCTTATCAGCTTGCACATTAAAATTACCTTCCATGTCTTCTAGAACTTTGAAAATGTTCACCAATAGTATTGTCTTCCCAACTGTAGCCTAGAATATGGTACCAGAGAAAGTGTGTTACATTATTGGAAATTAGACAACATTTAAGTTATTAACTTGAGTGAACTTTAGAAACGTCTCTGATCTATTCACCTCACTCTTCTTCATTCTCAATAAATTACAAAGACAACTAACAATAACAAAGAAAGAAATGTGCCTACATTTTACAAAGTGAAAAAAATCACTGTATTACCTATAGCTGTGAGATTCCTATAGGTTTCCAACATCACGTCTTTGTAGAGACTCTTCTGAGAAGGATCCAGCAAAGCCCACTCTTCTGGAGTGAAGTTCATATGCACATCATCATAGGTCATTATATCCTAAAAGTTCCAGTATATATGTACATAAGAAAGCATTATTCCAACTAAAGTGTAAAGGTGTACTTCAAAATGAATAGTTGCTGACTTCCCTGCCCATCCACATAGCACTTTTTATCCAATAAGCAACAGTCTTTCACAGTTAAAGAAAAACAAAAACTTAAGTAAATTTAGAAGCAAATAAATGATCTCTGGGAACCTGATGTCTCTGTTGTTGGATGCCACCAAGATGGTACATATGGAACTATGTAGGATCCTGCCAGACCTTCCTCATTTCCTATTTTCTAAGACCCAATATCCAAGGGTTCCCTTAGAACTGTAGTTTTTTCTCACCCCTCCATGCTTCTTACAGATACAAAAGAATATTTCCCTTCCTTTCTTACCCCACCTCTGTGTCTGAGCTCTGAACTATGTTGAGAAACCCCCTACTCAACCATAGGCCAGTCCTCCAGAAGACTAAGCAGTCTGTCCAAAGACCCATCACACTATCTGTTACCCAAGACCCAACTCTCATAGTTCCCCAACACTCTGCAACGAAATATCAGGAAAATCTTCCTTTGCTCACTTCCATGTGACCAGTTTTCAAGTTCTCTTCAAAATAACTAAGGGAACTACACCAGGAAAAATGTGAACTTGACAAATGTTACCTGTACTTGTATACAAATAAAATGAAAACAGATTTCATGACTTCTACAAAAATAACTTAAGTAACCCCTAAAATGTTGCATTTCTGACCTTTCAGTTACTACAAACAGTTACTCTGTCTTGCAAACAGAGAGACCTGATGGTATAGCGTTCTGTCAATAAAGGTAGGTGGTCAGAAAGGTGGTCTATGGCTCTGCAGGTCTTCATGACCCTTAGTGATTTCAGGTAAAACTAGTTCCACTCAAGTCTAACAAAACACAATATTGAATAATGATTTAATATCTGCTTCCTGTCACATGGATTATGCTACAAGATGTGAAATCTGTCTCATCCACCTGCCCAGCACCATACACACCTGAGAAACTTCTACACCTCAGAAGCTCCTTTTGTAACCAAGAATTGAATTTCTGTGTATCATGTCATTATTACTGGAGGTAACAGAATGGCTAAATAATTCTAGTTAATGTTTCTGAAGTATGATCCCTATCACCTCTTTTCTACTAATTTCTAAAGTATAAAATTAGTCACACAAAACTGAATATAGAAGTTTCACGAATTCTAGAAATCAAATCTTCATTTTTGCAATGTCATCCAACTGCACACCAAAAGCAATGCCTGTGTGTTCACACTGAATATTGACATTTAATTTTCACACCTGGCCACTTAAAGGGGTACAGACCCTCCCTGGGGATCCACCCTCAGGAAGGGTCAAAGGACAGGGGCCTCTGCTATTATCACTACATGAAGCAACAGAACCACACTCTGAACCATGGTCCCTCTTTTGAACACGGTCTCTATTCCAGTAGATCTGACTCTAATAGTTCAGCAGACTTACTCCTACTGTCCTGGTTATAGAGTTGCTCAAAATCACCAGGGCATAGCTTGTGGGCTTACTCTTAGCTTGTAACACATGCATCTGTGGTGAATCTTGTAAAGACCCTGCAAGCTACCTTCCACTAGTGCTCCTGACTGATAGGCCTGACAGAGTCCCTCATTAGCTTGGAAAGTCAGCTGGGCATCAGGACAGTAAGTGGCAGCTCCTCTACTTGGGGACCACAGAGCAAATAACTCAGACATCTGAAACCATCCAAGCTCTGCTGTTCCACCCTAAATGCAGGCATAGTCCTAGTCTGGGAAATTTGAATTTAATAGTCTCCAGAGGACTCATTTTCCTTTTTAAACGCACTGGGTCTTTTCTTTGCATATTCAATTATACATGCAATGTCCACTGCAGCCATCTCTGCTTCATACTGGGGAAGTCCTGTAGCCAAACTGCAATCAAATTCATAGAGTATCAACAATTAAAACGAAAAAGTGGCTATGAATTTTAAAGCTAGGAGCAGTAAATGGGAAATGAAAAAAAAAGAAGAAATAAAAGTTATAGGACATCACTGTTCTTAGGTATGATGGAGTAGAAAATTTATTATACACAAAAGAGAGAACAAAGGCAGACCCAGTTATATCTGGGATATTTTCAAGTAGACATTACATTGAACCTGTGTAGAGGTAAGAGGGGAGAAGGAAGAGCCACAACAAGAGATCAGAATGATTAATAATAGATAAAAAGGCCAGTCCACAATGGTTAGAATGCATAAGGAATGTCAGCTGGGAAATTGGCAGCCCTACTCCTGTGGTAGAGGGTGAGGTATGCCCTCAATATTCTGTAGCAGGTAGGGACTGTGGTCTGATGAGACAACCAGACAGCCAGGTTTGCTTTGATTTGTTAAGTAGGCCCCACAGCTCCTTGTCCCAGAGTTTCAGACTTAACACTAGAAAGAAAGGAGAAGCCTGGCAGTGGTGGCTCAAGCCTTTATTCTCAGCACTTGGGAGGCAGAGGCAGGTGGATTTCTGAGTTCAAGGCCAGCCTGGTCTACAGACTGAGTTCCAGGACAGCCAGGACTATACAGAGAAACCGTGTCTCGAAGAAGCAAAAAAGAAAGAAAGAAAGAAAGAAAGAAAGAAAGAAAGAAAGAAAGAAAGAAAGACAGGAGAGAGAAGGAAAAAATGATGATTATACTCTCAAAGATTATTTTTAAGAGTTAAAAGACATTTTATGGTCCAATATTTTTGAGAAACTACACATATGTACTAGAGAGCACCAAGTAGTACTCACATCTTTTCTCTTACACTGTGTATGTTCACACAGGAATAATAACATTCCTGTTAGGTACAGCCAAACCAGATTGTCTAGATCTTCTTTTGTTTGAACTAGTGAAAATACAGAAATTTGATTTCTAGATATAAGTAAAAGTCCTCATTTAAATTTATCATTGCCCTAATCTGGGAAATGCCCCAAGATGGCCAGTAAGGAATTTTGCTTATTATTTTCTAAAATTGCTTCATTGACCTCTCATCACAAATGCCAACTTCTGCTAAAGGAGAAAGGATTCACCTTCGTTCTTTCTCCTCTTTTTCTGTGCTGCAAGTATACCAGCTTCACAGTTGGTCAGTGGACTCAATACTTATACAGGTCCCTCTTTATTTGTAATCCCCTAACCCCTAATCTGGGGAGGTTAGACAGCACTCATTTCCTGGTGTTTTTGTCTCACTGATCAATCAGAAGCCAGATTGAAAGGAGTTGCAGGACTGTTTTCCAAGCACTGAGCAGCAGAGGAAGGTTCAGGTGTTCAAAGCAAGTCCTAACTACATGGCATAAGGAAAGCTACAGGAGATGTTGCTCTAAACAGACAGATAGGAAATCTCTTTAGAAAAAGGAATAAGCCAGTCAGTGACAGTGGTTGCACACACCTTTAATTCCAGCACTGTGGAGGCAAAGGCAGGCCAATTTCTGAGTTTGAGGCCAGCCTCGTCTACAGAGTGAGTTCCAGGACAGCCAGACCTACATAGAGAAACTCTGTCTCCAAAAAACAAACAAACAAAAAAAACAAACAAACAAACAAAAAACAAAAAAAAAGAAAGAAAGAAAAAGAAAATGGAATGAAATTCTTAATTTTTGGGAAACATTGGAGAATGGAAACAAGTAAGAGATCAGAGCACCTATGCATAAAGAAAATGAAATTTAAAAAGTAATACCAAAACATGACTTTTTAAAAGGATAACTATAATTTAAAAAATATATTGCTATACTGATTTCAAAAAGATCAGATCATTCCTGGTAGAAGGAATGGCATTAATAAGACAGTGTTGGGGCTGAAAGCCATTTTGTTTTTCAGGACTCTTTGCAAGGGTAGCTGGTTAATGTGCACCAAGGCAGCAGCTGTAGTAGCCGCAGTTCCATCTCTGATTCCACGATGTTGACCTTGGCCAAAAACGCACTAAGCTGTCTCCAAGTTCGAAGCATTCAGCAAGTGGTGGCAAGGCAGAGCCATCAGAAGAGGACACCTAATTTCCATGATAAATATGGAAATGTTATATTAGAAGGTGGAGGCATCTTCTGTATATCTACATGGACATATACAGCCACACAAATTGGAATAGACTGGAACCTGTCCCCTGTTGGCAGAATCACCCCAAAGGAATGGAGAGATCAGTAGTCATGTCAGCTGGTACAAGAATCAAGGAATTGTTTCAAAACTAACTCATAAGTGAATGCCAAGTCAAATAATCATGTACTCATTAAACTAAGGAAGAAAGAAGATCTAATAAAGAAATGAAGTAATTGAAACCTTAAAAAAAAAGAAAAGATAGTGTTTGTTCTTGCCACTATGTGCTGTGTTACCTACTGAGATCTATAATATGACCCACCCAGTTAATGACATGTGTTTTACATTTCTAAGCTCACTTAAATATGTCAACAAGGATTGCACATAACTATATAACACACTTCCTAAGACTAAGAATTCCTAAGAATTCATTATCCACTGGCTCAAGCCAGCTTTCTCAAATTAAAAGCCCACCAATGTAGTTTTATTTAGTCACATGCATTATTTAATACATGCTGTGAAATTATAAAATTGTTCACCTTGCCTGAATCAGGTCCTTTTCCAGAATGGTGACACCTGCAGTGGACTCCCTTATACTTTGGTCTGTGATCTGGCTGTTTCCTGCCCTCTTTCACCTGACAGTAAACAGAGTAAACCATTCCTCCTGTTCTCATCTGAAGGTAGAAGAAATAGACAGTTCATTATATGACTCAAATGAGCAATTAGAAAACTCACCTTTGCTTCATTCCTTTAAGTCAAGAATTTAGAAATTTTTATCAAGAGGAAAGCAAGGTTGTTGCCCTGGGGAGCAACAGACCAGGATCAAGGCTACTTGAGTCAACAGAGCTTGCCTTAGAAACATCTCTATGAAAGGAAGAAGATGCAGCTCTTCCAGAACTAAGATCTAATCCCAGAAAGATATGACTTCAAATACAGCTAAAACATAAATTAAGAAAAGACTCTTAATGG